AATCTAGGATGTGCGTTTCGTCCTATTTGGGTTTCGTCAGCTGAATGTGCTTACACCCCAGAGTTGATGTCCACTCCAAAACTCGAACCTAGTACCTTTCACTTCAAACGCCATCGCGTTATGAAGTCAGTTACTGTGTCCTGATAGCCAACTGCTTGTCTAGATGGCTATTTCAATTTTATCATTGTTGTTTAATTTTTATTACTATTGTAATTTTTCACGAGAATAAGATTTGAATTTCCAATTTTCAAAATTAAAACAAAAAGGATATCAGAAATAATCCTAAGTTCTTTCTAATAGGTTAGAAAATTTAAGATGATTCTAGTTACACCACCATATAACTTACCAGGTTCAACGATTTGATTACTCCATTTCAAAGATTTTTATCATTTCATCTAATAACGTTTTATTTCATGATGAAAGTGTGTGACATTGAATAGAAATTTAAAAGTAAAACAATATAATCGCTACTGGGTTTTGTATAGATTCTTGAAATTTTCCATAGTTGTCTAAGACTATTTAATGATGTTAAATCATTAGGAATAGTATAATCATTGAAAATAATTGAATGGTGAAACTATAATTTATGGACGAACCAATAAGGTATAAGATAAGAGGTCTCGGATTTTGGCGCGACATCCACTCATCCACTTGATTAAATAGAGAGTTGGCATTAAAGCTGATGTCAGTTCATGATGAAAATCATAAATCTAATTTCTAACCCTAACCATCAACTGTAAATCAGAATCTTAATTCCTTACACTGGTTTATAACCCTCATTTGGTACTAGTTATTAGGTGGACACTCTCAAGGTCACTTCAACATCGCTTAAAGGTCGTCCATAAATTATAACCTCACCTTATTGAATAATTAAAACAAAACTTATTTCACATATAGTTTAAATCAATTTAAATGTATCATCAATGATCAATCATATATTCTTCTACATTGTTATCGTAGTTCAATTTTTTTATGATATACATGTTTGTTTTTTTGGTAATTGTCTCAGGACTATTGAATGATGCTTAGTACCTATAAGAAACAATAAGACAGATATATTTTGATTGTATTTATTTTAGTAATGAGTTGGATGATGTGATTTAATATCGTAGCTACAGTATTAAATACAGATCTTTAATATAGTCTATGTTTTCATCACTTATCAATCTCCTGTTCAGATAAATACTACTGAATATACTACTGTTAAGAATAGTGGTATTGTCCATTAATGATACATAATAAATATTGAATATACTCAAGTGTAATTGTCTTTAACTGGTTTTGTTAAAAGGATTAGATATTAAATACAAAAAAGGTAACTTTAGTTTAATTCATGATGCTGTTTCAACAATCTTAATTTTAACTAACTTGAAACTTATCATTATTTCTAACCATAATGAAAGACAATTATTTATTACAGATTTGTTTGTTGACTTCCATGTACCTTTCAAATATAAAAATTAAACTTCTTGTCACCCTCTAAAGTAATCTTCGAATAATATAAATTATGCAATTTAGCAATCAAATACAGAATTGTGTACTTCAATTTTATTCACAAATTTTATCGGGTATCCAAGATCACCAATTGAATATGCGTCAAGCATTGTTGATCACTGCAATGCTATAATGGACAGTTACTTGTCTACGTCTCTGTGAATCATTTCAAGGAGTATTTGAATGATTATTGCATATAAAGTAATTAATCAAAAAATCAATAAAATTAGATACCTATCAACTTTGATTTTTATAATTTGTTTATTTATTAAACAATAACCTACAGTGTTAGCGAATAAACTTTATCTCCTAATATTAAATATCAACAGTGACTGATGAATCGACTAACTGTAAGATAAAAACATTCATATTTAGGAACATTCTTTCAACGTTTAAATTTCATTGCTATTTTCTGAAATATCACACAAAACAAATAAACGATTAAATATCAAACTTTCGTTAATAGTTATTTTATAAATTATCAACTTATAAATTTTATAAAAAATCTAATGAGATATTACTCTTTTTGATGGAGTTTTGTTCTCTGACCTAACTCCGCCTGTAGCTCCTCCGGGGGCTACTGCCGGTTCAATACCCGGATAAAGAAGGAGTGTTAGACATGGCATTAGCGACCCCATCCCGCAGAAAACCAACTCGCTTAAAAAACGTTAACCAGAAAAATTATTCAAAAGTTGTTCTCTGAGCTAGACGGTTTAGTCGTGGAGTTTTTATCATTCTTTTGAGCGATATCATTAGCACACACTTCAGGTAGAAGTGAAGTATTCGCATTTCTCCACATACGGCTTACAACTTGTCCTGTAGACCTGGATGTTGATTTGTTTTTAATAATAAAAGCTTACCACTACGAAAAACAAAAATTTTATTTTTCTTACGACAAAAACAAAATGGTTTATGAAAAATATTAATTACATGACTAACAAAAATGTTAGACGTTTATTTTTAAAGAACCATAACATTTGAAATGTTGTCTCTACAACAACAACAAAAGAAGGAAAATATTTTCACTTCAATGCACATACAATTGATTAGATATTGTCTTATCATCAGAAGGGGGTCTTGTGGGGATTTCGGTAACTTTATAGTTGAATTCATGAGGCAATTGAAGCTAGACCAGCATCAAAAACATGGAAGCATTGGATGGCCGTTTCGTTCTATTGTGGGACACCTCAGGAGTGCGCATCAACGATCCCGCCTTACGAGATTCGAACCCAGAACCTATCAGTCTTGCGCGCGAGCGCTTAACATCTAGAACCACTGAGCCGGTATCCAACGGTGTTAATGTCTAACTTCAACTAATCCACGAAATTGAGAGACACATCCACCATTGTCTTCAGTGAGTTACTATCTCACAACAGACGAAACGGCCGTCCAGTGCTTCCAGGTTTTCCATGATGGTCTAGCTTCAATAGACTCATGATTTCAACTATAAAATACTGTCTTATTGACCGGTAACTTTCTATGATACTAGTATAATAATAAAAGTATTTATACTATGATACATTGGTGAAATTAAAATGTTATTTAAGTATGACCTTACTTAATTTAACTAAAAGGCTACAAATATCTTTTACATAAAATACTTCATAAATTCATTATAGTCAAATTATACTAAAACTTCCGGTGAACCAGATTAAAAATTGTTCTAGATTCTCTTAACTATGTTGCATGTTTAATTTAAGAATAGAAGCAGAACGTTATTCTGACTTTGATTATCTGAATGAGATGGTTGTGTACTATTACGGGTAACGTAATAAACACTGAGGTCATGAAAAGTCCAAAGATTATTGATGACATTTAAGTCAAATTAAAATATAATTTTAAATTATTATGATGGTAATGATTAACTTTCAGATAATTGAAATCTATGGAGAGCTGTCTAAAACTTTTCATTCCTTTTAATATTCAAATTCTTGTTTAAAGTCATGTTTCATCTTTCCTATCTCCATTATAACTATAAATTATGATGGATAATATCATAATTATAGTTTATCCTAAATGTTAATTGGATACAGGATAACATTTATAAGCATCAACAAATTCTAAACATTTTTCACGTGCATACAACAACTGCCAGATGTGTTGTTTACGAAATTGAGAGGACGAAACGGGAACGTTCGGCGTTTTAACCGGATTGGTGGATATGGAGGTTCCATCCAGAGGAGTTAGTTGAAAAACCTTGATTCCAAAACAATCGTGCACATGTGATCCAGGATGCTGACTAATCAAATGGAGTATCAACCTATTGTCAGTCACCGGATACCATGATACTGCATCTCCTAACGTTGCTCTACTGTCTTGTGGATTAGACCTTTAGGTCAAAGGCTCGAGGAGTGGCCTCCTAAGGATACCACCTACTTCGGTTTGGGCACCTGGGCAGCATCACAGCCCTCACACAAATCGAATGACGAAGTATGGCACATATATATTTGGGACTTCCTTGTACCAATGTTCATGTGTTTAGGTAAATAATAAATTCATAAACCCAAAGATATTTTGAATCATGTGGCTGATCAGTAAAACCATATTTTAACAACCAATTGTCTGAGTAATAAACGTTAGAAAAAGATTGTTTTATGACACTCATAACTAAAGATAGTGTACATGTATTGTAGCATTAAGAGCAAATTATTAAGTCTACATGTTAGAATAAAAACAATGGATACAATTACTTTGAATCAATCCAAAAGCCTACAGATTAAGTACTATACAATACTTATCAATAAAACAGATTGGCTATTCCAGAATAATTAGGATATTTTAAAAAGATTTTAAAATACACTTTACTATACTCTTGAACTCAAAAGTACTATCCAATACTTAAAACACTGAGGTAATCTTCCGAAGATAAAGTAACGATGTTAATGTTCACTTTCTTTTAGTTACATGTACACTTTACAATATGATACATCTTTCCAGTGAATTTGTATGAACCACTGACATTCATAAAAGATTATTATAAACTTTTCTTAACTGAGAAATGTAATATTAGTCGGTACTTTTCTTATAAATATACTTAGGCAGTAATATATATATACTCGTATTAGATTGTTTTACTTATGAATGTATAATTATAGAACATTCTTTCCATAGACAACTACATTTTTAATACATGACTAAATCATGACTACAACATCACTTTTCGCTTATCAGAAAATCAAAAGTAAGTTATTCAAATAATAATTATACCTCGTATTATTATTATTATTACTATTATTTAGTAACTTGGTAAATAGACAGCAAATACAATGTAAACTACATTTAACATAATCATTTATTTTAATCTACTGGCTCCATTACTTCTTATTAATGTGTTTTATTTAAAGTAATTGTTTTTTTTTGAAAAATAGTAAATATAATATCAAAAATGAGTTAATATGTAATTAATTGCTCAAGTGATAAGATCAATAAGAGATCAGTTACTGGTTAGCGAATCTAGATATTACTTATTAATTTCATATATGCCATAGTGTCATTAAATTCAATGGTCATATGAGATTATATGATGAGTAGGATTTAAATAATACTACATGCTTGAAAAACTTTTTATAAAGTGATTCTTTGTCAATTATTGACACATCTTCATCGCGTTCTTGAAGATATAGATACCTGAGAATATTAAGTGAGAATCACGGATATGGTTTGATTTCATCTATGGTTAAACGCTTAATCACTTTCACAGTTATCATTCTTCGAAATAGATCTCTAACCTTTGAACTCAGAGTTCCTGGCAAATGGAAATAGTCTGCTTTTATTATTATTTTTTTAATGTATAGGTATATGTTCATCGTCAAATGGATGTGTGCCACATTGTAACGTATACAGGAATACTTTAAACCTCATTTCTGTTGTATAATAATAACCATGCCACCAAACTAATGTTGATAATACTGTACATAAATTGTTGTGATGATTACTATATATAAAATGTTTGACGAAGATTATACATAGTTGAAAGCGTGAGTCAATTGAAGCTAGACCACCATGGAAAACCTGGAAGCACTGGATGGCCGTTTCGTCCTACTATGGAACTCCTCATATGAACTCCTCCTCCCCATTGACTCCTCAACTATGAAAATATTAAAATCTCCACAAAACCCCTTCTAATAATGAAGATTATACAACTGTTTTGTATTTCAGTTATGAATTTTTCAATAATGAACTTAAATTTACACCTTTGTATTGCAATTATCAATGAATAAGTTTAACAACTTTAAATCTAATCAAACATTAAAAACAAAACCCAGGTAAATACATAACTTTAAGAAGAACATTGTTATCAGAGGTTTAATCATATTTAATACTAACCTTGGTCTTCCATAAGTTAAATAATATGCATTCATTTCTCTTAATAAATCTTGTATAGCTTTTTTATCTTGAAATATTGATGATATTCTTTGCATAACTTTATTTTCTAATTGTAATCCATTATCTAAATATGTTTGTTGTTTACTTTTTGGTGTTTTAAGTAATTTCACTACAGGTGAATTAATAAAATATGTAGGTATAGTAGATGAATCTGATTCGAACATTGTCTCTGAATTTATTGATCTTTCCGATAATGGTGATAGAATAGTATGATGTAGATGCATAGCATCTATACAAAGATTTTTATTCATGTAAACTAATGAATAATTAAATAATATTGTTATCATTAATATTTGTATAGTTTTATATAATAATAAATTATGTTTCTTTTTAGTTGCTTCTATATAACAATCAGTAAGATTATGAATGAAAGGATTTTTTAAAATATGATTACTATGATTATATGGATTCATTTGATTACATTTAAAATAAGTAGTATCGTTTGATTTCAATGATAAATTTTTAAAATTTGCGCGCATATATTTGATAGACTGATTTAAACTATGTATTGTCCATGACAAATTGAATTGTTTAATAATTTGATTTAATTCAGTAGTATAAATAAGTTTGTTCAAATAATTAATTAATTTTTTAATAATTAAATATTTAAAATGTTTAGTAGCATAGATGATAATAGAATGATAATAATAATAGTAATAATAATACTGATAATTGACTAAAGAATTAATAAGCATTCAATAATAACAGAATCTAAGTTGATTTCGGGTTAAAAGAAACAATCATGTAACATGGATATATATATTTATATCCCTGTAAAATAACTTCCATTAAAATATTGGTAAATCTGTTTTTTATTAAATCAGTTAAACAAGGTTTCGTGATTTGTGCATATGTGTGTGTGTGTGCGTACGTGCGTATGTGTATTTGCGTTTTACAATAATCTGTAAAATACATTTTAACCCATGTCATAGAAGATTAACTAACCCACTCATTCAAATATGACTATAGAATTAACTCCTACGCATATATAATAATAATCCACCATATAAATTATCCAATCTTTATTCTATATTTATTAAGATATTTTGTCCTGAGGAAATTTCTGTATGTTTTTTATGCCTTTTGAAGGATTATTGTTTTATAGAGTTGAGATCATGAGTCAATTGAAGCTAGACTACCATGGAAAACCTGGAAGCACTGGACGGCCGTTTCGTCCTATTATGGGACTCCTCAGCAGTGCGCGTCCACGAACCCACTCTCGCGGGATATCATCCAAATAAGAAATTCAATATAGATATGATAAATAAAAAAGTATTATTGAACTTATAAAGTGATTAGTATAATAAAGTATTTGGTATTCATAGCACCGACGTTTTTAACTCGTCAATAATGACTAAACACAAAATAAGACATCATTATATGTGAAAAGTATATTTGAAATGATGACAGCGATTGAAATTAAAATAATTACAACATTTCGTCCAGCTAACGTGTCTGGACTTTTATTATTATCCTGAATAAGTCCAGACAAGTTAGCTAAACGAAACGTTGAGATGATTTAAATTTCAATCGCTGAGATTATTTCAAATATAACTTTCACGTATAATGATTTCTCTATATTCGGCGCCCAATTCTTGTCAAGCTATTCGTTCTAATCTTGATGACTATGTGTATAAACAAAATAAGACAGTTATTATGAAACCTCTAGTACTTATGGTAAACATGTGATTGACGAATTATTGAACCAGAATTCAATAGTTTTTCCCTATCATTTTTAGAAAACTTATAGCCCATCTAAAAAGAAAACAATGTCATCATTGCAACTTCGAATTTTACATTTAAGAGATCGGACGAAACTATAAAAATCAAGTATTTGTCAAACATTGTTTCGACAGGGTAGTAAAGAAAATGTTTAAATACTGTTTCATTAATATATAAGCTGAACTTGATACACCGAAATGTAGCTATTCACTCTAACGGTACACGAGAGAAACTATGTCCATAGAAGTTTCTAATTAATTGAATGACAAATAAAACTAAAGTTAAACAGGATGATTAAATTGCTTTTAGTTACAGTAATTAAAGGTCATAGAGGTGTAAAAATAAATAAATTGATATGATGAGCATTTATGAATAAAATAATCCGACATTTGACAAATTTTTTTTTTGGGGGGGGTTATTATTCGAGACAAAACTGTCTTTAAGTAACAGTTTGAACTCAATATCATGAACTGGTAGTATATTTTTACTTTGCCTCCATGGTACGATAGAAGAATAGCAGTTTATGATTAAATCATACATAATTAAATTTTCTATAAAACAACTAATAATATTTGACGTATTTTCGTTCGCTTTAAGGAGTAATTTCTTTCCACGCCTACATAGAACAGCGTTTATAAATTATGGTGTTTCGATTGTGATGCGTTCTATATTGAAGAGTCATCTTGGGAAATCGCGACTTGTACTACACAAATAGGTCTCTCTTCGACTCTATAGAATATCTATTAGCCAATGAATAACGGTATATGTTATTTCAACAACCAACAAAGTGGTGTTAAAAATATCAAAACAATTCGAAAAGTTTTTTTTCACTATAAAGAAATAGTCTTAGTCTTCATTGTTCCCGCATTACTATACCAGCACCTGAGGCATTTCATATAACGCTAAATCCTTCTGCTCTCAAAAGGAAGAAGGGTTCATCTAAGTATTCCACATGGACTGTATGTCGATACAATCACATCTATGTATATTTATTTCATACACAATTAATGCACAGATACACAGATTTTAGCTCTACCCCTTCAATTACGAATTTCACATTTTCAAAACTCATTAACGTATACACAGATACACTTAGGGATATCTGACACACAGAATTATCATATTCGAAGTAATATGATATCAACACGATTAGAGCTATTTAAACTTTGACTGAACTAAAGATTGTAATTTAAAATTGCGTTAATTGAATTGGTAGTTTATTTACTAGTTGAAGAAGCGAGTTTAAATGCGTGACGAACTTTTGGAAATCATGATTTTCTACTAATCAAAATATCATGAATCAATAATTATTTTATTATTTAGTAAACATTATTTTCATTGTGAAGTGTTATGTTTTCTAAATGATTAACGCAGAATATGGTATACAACTACGGCACTCGAACGTGTAGAACCCCACAGTCATAAATCAGAAGACGGAAGAATGCTGGAGAAGTGTTTGTTGGGTAAGAATCAAAATGTACAGAAAATCATGGGTATTTATAGATATTAGCGTTTGTTATATCAACATTACAAATCAGACAATCCGCAAAAAGGCAAATTATGCTACTATCCAATAGTAGTATGTCACGTTCATATTGTAAAAAGCTCCAACACGTTCTAATTGGATGAAAACTTTTCGGCTCCTTTAGGGCTTCTAGAGGCTTCGTCGTAGTTCATGGAAACTGTCCAAACATAAACCGTAGAAACATGATTGTATAATGGATTTTATAAAATTGTTCTGGTGAACAGAACATTAAAGAAGCAATTAAACTGTTTAAAATGCTAGAATAAATATTACACGTTGATTTAGAAACATCTCTTGGATAATATTACTTAGTGACCTGAAACAAATGTATTCTGCACCTAAGTAAGAAAAAAAATACTAATTTCATCAGACTGTCAAAAATGATCTTGGATATAAAAATATAAAAATCATAAATAGTGGTAATTATATACTCAGATAATTATCCGAATATGAACACTATAAATTTTGTAGAAAATATAATAATGGAGAACATCAGTCATTATGACGTCTGTAAATCAACAAACGTTTGATAAAGACTGACACTTGAAAAAAAGATTTTTCTGTTGTTAATATGAAATAATAATGAACAATAATTAGTGCAAACGTTGATAGGGGGGCTTCTGATTTGTTCCTTAAATGTATACAGAACAATCGGATCGTTTCTATTGAGAACTGATTTTGGATGATATAATGTCAACATTTATAAGAACTTCCGTCTAAATTAGAGCGAATACTTTCATAGTATTTGGGCGCCGAGTTTATGTAAGACATTAAAAAGGAAGAACATATTTGTAAGATCTCAGGAAATATTTCCTTGATCCAAATTCTTCATTACCAAAAGAAAAGTTGCACGTGAACAGAGAATATTACTTCTTCTCTAAACACAGTCATAATGTATTTCTAATAACATATTAGCGATTACACATTTCTTGAAACTCCTCCTGCAAAATGTCAATCAGTCATCTTAGACTTCATTGTCCCTGCATTACCATACCAATTGCTTTCTGCCCCTGTTCTTTACTCCTCGATCTTCTCAATCTTCTGCTGACAGACATTCTATTCCTGACTAGCGTTGTATACTACTTATATCTGTTAACATAAGCAGCACACATTACGTTAGTACACATAACTGAATCGTACATCCAATTTATTTACTTGTAGTTAGTACGGTATCAAGGTGGTTTTTAAACTTTAAGATCTCTTACTACACATAACAATGTGATATTACACATAAAATGACTAGCGCTAATACACATAACATAGATTTATGTTAAGGTGTTTATTCGTTATCATTTACGTTAAGAATCTGATGTTTATCGAAACTTCATAATTTACAAAAGAAATTGAATTTAACTTACTTAATCGTATATTAATTATTTCACTGACACTACTGATTGTCAGCTTGTGTAAAGTTTAACTTGGTTTCAATACACTGTCTATTCCTATGAAGTGAATTGTCGTTCCAAGGGGATATTTAAACTTGAACATAATCAATATATGAAAACATATTTATTTAGATAAGTTAGCATTATATAACAGTTAGAATCTTGAAGTTATAGGGAATATATATTGAATATCTAGCGAAACATATCCGATGATGGTGACGCTATTTGCGAAAAAAATATATTGTTGCATCAAGGATAATTTAGCGAAAACAATCATCATTGACTTTGTTTAAATACCACAATGGGTTTCTTTCTTTACCATTAACATTTTCATTCTTTTTCAACACATATTATTCTACTACGAAAAACTCAGTAACTAATTTCTATTTAGTTAAGGATTAATTTTGTGAAATGCAAAATTGTAACCTCTTTAATATGACAGATTTGTCACAGTTACTATTTATAGTTTGATTACTGTTTTCCATTGATAAAGTATTCAGAATAATTATTCACATGGTTGAAGTAATTCGTTTGTAATTTAATTCTTTTAATAAATGTTGCCTAAAATGAAGTATCATAGACATTTATTACTTACTACTTATTTATAATTATCTTAATAAAAAAGAACAGTATTCTCAGAGGATAACTTAGATAAGATAGAATAGGAATAAATGCTTAATATTTGATCACATGTTTGAATATTTTTTTCGTAATTATAGACTAATGAAATGCCTTCGAATGACTGAAAGATAAATTAATAAATTAAGTAATGTAATTTTTAAGGCGCCATATGACTGAACGTAATCCTGATGCTTATGTGAGTAGATATGTTACAGTAAATTGGTAC